TTGTTACAGTATTTCATTAAGTGTACACGTCTACTAAACTGTAACAGATGTTTCACAATGAGGCAAAACTTTGCAATCCAAAGAGATTGGAGGGTGACCTAAAAAAGAAAGCGGTATTATATTAAAGTATAACTAAAGAGTTGTAGTTCTTAGGACCAAAGACAGACAAAAATTATGTTTTAAAAAAAGCGATGAGAGGTCTGAGGGATAAAACATATCAGGAGAGACTTCAGGAACTTAAAGTATAAGTAAGGGTTATTTCACACGGGCATTCCGTTTTTTTTTTCAGTTGAGTTACATTTTTTTCAAAGAAAAAAATGGATGTTTACATCTGTGTTTTCATCCATTTACATCCATTTTTTCACCCATTTTTTTTCATTTTTTTTCATCCATTTATATCTGTTTTTCATCCATTTACATCTGTTTTTCATCTGTTTACATTGGTTTTTATCCGTTTTTCATCTGTTTACATTCGTTTTCATCCGTTTACATCAGTTTTTGGTCCATTTTTATCCGTTGACATCCGTTTTTATGTCCAGGTTTTTTTGCGGAAGAAATATAGAGCTTTCTTCCGTTCAAAAAAATGGATGTTAACAGATGCGAACATTTATGGATGTAAAAAGATGTTCATCCGTTTACATCCGCAAGTCCATAGAAATACATGGTTGTCCGTTTTTCATCCGTAAACGGACAGATAAAAAACGGGCATACGGAACACCCCTGTGAAAGGGGCCTAAAGGTAAAACTTTTTGGAGATGGATGAGAACACCTGTCAGTTTTTATTGCTGTCTGTGCCCCTGTTAGGGAGATTCAATCTCTCTATTTGTCCAGTTTACTATTATCAATGAAAGTGAAAGTAAAAGAAAATCCCAAATTTTGGTTTGTCCCCAAAAAAGGAATAGCGGGGATGTTAACCCTGATAACAGCTAGGGATTTCCCATACATTGAAGGGTTATCTCTCACTTCCTATTTTGGCTATGGGACAGGAAGTGAAGGGGAATCTACCCAAAGGGACACAGACGGCAATAAATCACAGTACTGAGGTTATAACCTCCCCTTACACTATCCAAAATGAAAAAAAAAACAGTTTTGCCTGTAGTTTAGAACTACAGGCAAAACTTTTTTTTTTTCATTTTGGATCCAGTAAGGAAGGGTTATAACTCCCTGTCTGATTTTTTTTTTTTCTCCATCTGTGTCACATTTGAGAGATTTCCCTTGACTTCCTGTCCCATAGCCAAACAGGAAGAGAGAGGAAATCCCAGCAAATTAAGGGAGTCCCTAGAGGCCCCCCAGGTCACCAGAACTAGTGTCCCCATTGGAATATATTATCTCTATTACTTTTCTGGGGACAATTCAAATTTGGGGTGTTCTTTTACTTTCACTTATCATGGTCACCAGGAAAAATAGGGAGGGGGGAATCTCCCCAACGGGGACTCAGACAGCAATAACAACTGACACTATCCAAAACAAAAAAAAAAAAAAGGAAGGTTTGCCTTTAGTTATACTTCAAAATGCTCCCATGTACGCTGGATCTTTCTGCCAGAAAAACACATCATTAAAGGATAAAAAAATTAATAAAGTCATATAAAGCTCCATTACCTTGTTACACAAGTCTTTTGACAGTTCTTTTCTGCTCCCCATGGCTCAGTATCTAGCCTGCTCAGTGCATCCACGTAACAAACTCACTGCCTATTTATACACAGACACTAATTACAATTTAAAAAGCCATAAGTGTGGTAAATTAACCTTTAATTGGCATTTTAACCCGTGTGTGTCACCTTGTGTGTCTGTACCAAGGCTAAAGATTCCAGGGGAGGGAAACTTTTGATCCGGGTCATTTGGGTGATTTCTGTTATCATTATGATTTAAAAAGGAGCCAAACAACTATGTGATAATAAATGGCTTCATATGATCATCATCCTTCAATAAAATAGCATTTTTTTGGCGTGATCAGTCATATTTTCAATATCAATGTCAACATTTCACAATTTCTGCCAGGGTATGCAAACTTTTGAGCGCAACTGTATTTCATATGATCTTCTCTATCTTTTCTTCTTGATCATCTACTTGACTGCTCCCAATCTCCAAAACAAACAAATATAGTGTAGTAATTCCACACATAATATGATACGTGATACACCCGTGCATACATACAGAACTCTTTGTGAATCATATCCACCGCTATCCACACTGATTACTCTTACCCTCATTGGAGGTGGAAGGTCGCATTTTAAATTAACCCCCCCGGCGGTATTCCCGAGTGTAGCTCGGGGTAAAGTTTCAGCACCACAAGCGGTAACTCCGAGCTACACTTGGGCTTACCTTGCAGCGCTGCTTCGGGATCCCTTCTGCACTTACCTTGTCCTGCGCTCCTGCGATGTCCCTCCTGCAGTGTTCCCGGCCATCTCCTCCGGCCGATGCTGGCATCTGTCATCTGGGTTCCATTCCCTGCGACGTCGGGACGTACGGGGGACGGAACTTGCGGGAAATTTGAAAGTTTTAAAAAGTGACATTCACTAAAATCACATAGTATAACATTCCTGTATCAAACCATTTCCCATACATGTTGTCCCGAGTGCCTTGTCCGGCGCCCTGCCTGCATTTTTACTGTTCTTTCTGCCTGGAAACTGAGAAACGTCCATGGTGTCCAAAAAGCGTCCCTTTAGGTCAAAAGCGGTTTTAGACCGGCTAGAGAACAGCGATAGTAAATCAGAACCACTTGCAGAATTGAGTGATAATGATTAGTGGGGGAAATTCCTCATCAGACACTGAAAACGATTTTGCGACTTTGCTCAGCGATGTGCGAACTTGGCGCTCTATTTCACATTTCAGTGTTTTTGGTTTGATTATATTATTGAATTAAATTTAATTATTATTTTTAAAAAAATAATTATATTATTTTTTATGATTATTTATTAAATTTATAATTTATGATTTCGTGTTTCAAATTTTAACATACCCGGGATGTTTACTAGACTCTTGTTCAGACAGATTTCAGTGAGTTATTCCTAAAAATTACAGGCCTACAATAAAAAAACTACATATTTCCGTGTAAAAAAAGTACCACTTTGAGCACAGAAATATGGACATAATCAGACCGCTAGGGAGGCTACGAGGATATATCACATCGATGGAGAGTTTTATGCACATTTTCATCCTGCACCAGATTCAGTAAATTCAGCCATTTTAGTAAACCTCCCCGTATTTGTCCTGACTGCTTGTGTTCCAGGCATTTGTCCTGGGTGCAGTTTGACTTCTAATTACAGTCAGAAATGTATATTTTGCACCAGAAAAGTGTATCTGATTTGTGTTAAACTTCTAGCGGAAAACCTCAGGTCATTTTATTTATTTAAAAATAAAACATAAAGGTGCAGGGCTTCAAATATCAAAAAATCGAAGTGCCGCACGGTTATGTTTTATTATTTTGTGTATTGTTACCCTGCACTGTTGTGGTGGCTGCTCATGTTTTATTGATTTATTTATTAGGCAGTTACATATACACCATAGCGCAGAATTGTTAAGGGAATTTATTTATTTATTCATTACAGGTACTTATAAAGCGCCGACAATTTACACAGCACTTTACATATAATACAATAAGGGCAGAAAGCTGGATAGCAGCCAAGTGGGGAATACATAAGTATAGACTGCTGCATACTGGAGTCCTTCTTTAATCACCTGGCTTGCATATTGGAGTTTGGAGTCCTTTAAACCCCTGGCCTGCATACTGGAGTCCTTCTTTAAAAACCCTGGCCTGCATACTGGAGTCCTTCTTTAAACCCCTGGCCTGCATACTGGAGTCCTTCTTTAAACCCCTGGCTTGCATACTGGAGTCCTTCTTTAAACCCTGGCCTGCATACTGGAGTCCTTCTTTAAAACCCTGGCCTGCATACTGGAGTCCTTCTTTAAACCCCTGGCCTGCATACTGGAGTCCTTCTTTAAACCCCTGGCCTGCATACTGGAGTCCTTCTTTAAACCCCTGGCTTGCATACTGGAGTCCTTCTTTAAACCCCTGGCCTGCATACTGGAGTCCTTCTTTAAAACCCTGGCCTGCATACTGGAGTCCTTCTTTAAACCCCTGGCCTGCATACTGGAGTCCTTCTTTAAATCCCTGGCTTGTATACTGGAGTCCTTCTTTAAACCCCTGGCTTGCATACTGGAGTCCTTCTTTAAACCCCCCTGGTCCTTCTTGTATACTGGAGTCCTTCTTTAAACCCCTGGCTTGTATACTGGAGTCCTTCTATAAACCCCTGGCTTTGTATACCGGAGTCCTTCTTTTAAACCCCTGGCTTGTATACTGGAATCCTTCTTTTAAACCCCTGGCTTGTATACTGGAAGTCCTTCTTTAAACCCCTGGCTTGTATACCAGAGTCCTTCTTTAACCCCTGGCTTGTATACCGGAGTCCTTCTTTTAAACCCCTGGCTTGTATACCAGAGTCCTTCTTTTAACCCCTGGCTTGTATACCGAAGTCCTTCTATAAACCCCTGGCTTGTATACCGGAGTCCTTCTTTAAACCCCCTTGTATTCTTCTATAAACCCCTGGCTTGTATATCGGAAGTCCTTCTTTTAAACCCCTGGCTTGTATACCGGAGTCCTTCTTTAAACCCCTGGCTTGTATACCGGAGTCCTTCTTTAACACCCCTGACTTGTATACCGGAGTCCTTCTTTACACCCCTGGCTTGTATACCGGAGTCCTTCTTTACACCCCTGGCTTGTATACCAAAGTCCTTCTTTTAACCCCTGGCCTGCATCCTGGAGTCCTTCTTTAAACCCCCCTGGCCTAATTTCCCTGACTTGCCCTCCTCCATAGGTAAGAAACACATGAAATAATAAGCCCATCACCAGCCTGGGGCTGAGCATCCTCTGTGTACAGCAGACGTACTGCGAGCTCTGTCGCCATCTACTGTCCAACTTGAGGAATTGCATGAAAAAAAAATCATCTTTCTTTTCTGGTTCATTCCTGCTGGTGTAGCCGGTGATCCCGGAAGTGCTGGATTCCCCAAACAAAAAACATGGCGTCGCCGGGTTTGGAGCTACTGTATGCTCTGGTGTCTCCGGACATCAGACAGCCTCAGGACTCCCTGGTCTGCTTCATCCACTGGGAACTGATCAGCCAAGGCCTCCGCTGCCTGGGGAAAGGAGAAAAGGTAACACAAGCCGCTTCCTGTGTGCTGAGAGCTGGCCAGCATAGTTCAGGGCTGGAGGGTCCCATAGTCCAGCATGGAGAGGACTCCTCCCCTCCCCCCCCCCCATTGGTACATTGGGTTCACTTGTGTCTTTATTAGTATTGCTACATGGGAACTTTGTTACAATGTTACTGAGATACACTGATACATGGAACTCTGTATCCACAATCCATGGATCAATCATCCTTGTCATTGTGCTGTATACAGGTGCCTGTGTATAACACTGCTCAATGATAGAAAGTGAGGGTCAGCTCTGATTTCATTGTATATACAGTGTGTATATATATATATATATATGTTTTGTATTTTAATACAGTTTGTATGTTTCCTTCTGCTTCCTGTGTACTTCACCGGTTGTCATTCCTGTTCTTCCACTCATACATCATCGGTTGTTGTTTTTCATCATTACCTCCCTATGTGTCATGGCCCATTATCTTTTATAAAGGATTTTTTTTTTTCATTTTTATTATATTTCCTGGAGTTATTAAAGTGGCACTAAACTATATTTAATCCATTTGCATCCACTACTTAATGGCCCTGTAATCTATTTTTAATGTAATTGTTTTTTTATGCTCCATGCACATGTTTTTTTTTAAGCTCACTAGTGTTTTTTTTTTAGGAGCGTCAGGGTTTTATTAGCATTTTTATAGTGTATTCAGGAAAAAAGCTAGAAAAAAAAAAAAGCTGTCAGGACCATTCAGCATTTTTTTTTTTTTTTTTTCTGTCAAAAACGCTCCCAAAACCTATACAAAAAGCAATTTTTTCTGCTCCTTAACCCCTTCATGCCTAAGGATTAAAAACAAATCTTAATGCCTAAGCACAATTTTTCAACGTTGACGTGTGTTAGTAAAACTGTCCATATCATCACAACTACTTTGTACATCCAGGTGGTTTATACCTTGTTTTTTTTTCAGCACAAATTGGGCTTTTATTTGGTGGTTAATGGTTATCTCCTGATTGTTATTTTTTTTGTATTATCAAAGGAAAACTGGCCCAAAATAGTAAAAAAAAAAACAATTTTTAATTTAGATGTGTTTCTTGTTACTACCATAGCCTGCCACCAAAGAGCAACCCAAAATACATTTTCCAGCTTTTGACAATCGCAGAGATACCATATATTTGTATGTTATTTGTTGTTTGTACCCGTAGTACTGCCCAGAAACAATAGTGCGTGTTTTGTTAACCTACATGTTCCAACATGACTGCGCACCAGTGCACAAAGCAAGGTCCATAAAGACATGGAGGAGCCAGTTTGGGGTGGAGGAACTTGACTGTCCTGCACAGAGTCCTGACCTCAACCCCATAGAACACCTTTGGGATGAATTAGAGCGGAGACTGCGAGCCAGGCCTCCTCCCCCGACATCAGTGCCTGACCTGACAAATGTGCTTCTGGAGGAATGGTCCAACCTTCCCATAGACACCCTCCTAAACCTTGTGGACGGCCTTCCCAGAAGAGGTGAAGCTGTTATAGCTGCAGAGGGCGGGGCCAACTCAATATTGAACTCTACGGACTAGGACTGGGGGGCCATTAAAGGTCATGTGCTTGGGAAGGGCGGGGGCCAACTCAATATTGAACCCTACGGAGTAAGACTGGGAGGCCATGAAAGATCATGTGCTTGGGTAGGGCGGGGCCAACTCAATATTGAACCCTATGGACTAAGAGTGGGGGCAATTAAAGTACATGTGAATGGAAAGGGCGGGGCCAACTCAATATTGAACCCTATGGAGTAAGACTGGGGGGCCAATAAAGGTCATGTGCGTGGAAAGGCCGGCGACCCAATACTTTTGACAATATAGTGAATAATAGAGTTTAGTGTCACTTTAACAGGTATTTAGCAAAGTTAAAATGATTAGCTTCACCATTTTACAGCTGTAGTGTTTGTTTTACATGTTGCATTCCAAATGTGCAATCTCTATTCAGTCTCCATGTACTCCTGAGCATTTTGCTGCAGGCTGCATTATTCCAGAACCCCCTTATTCTGACTGGGCCTGTTCACATGGTCACCTGTCACGTGAAGTTCAGTTAAGTGCATGAGTTTCTGTGGGATAGAATGGCATGCTTTTGGTCAATGTAGACTATACTGGAAGCACTAGGGAAAAAAAAAAACATGTTTATGTGAACTCTTCAGGTTCTCCTATTTAAATGTATTATGGTCCAAAAACAAGTGATTCTGCACCTATACAAATCTATAAAAAAAAAAAAGGCCTCTGAACTACATGGTTATGCTCACACTAACTGATAATGGGGGCTTAGGACTCTTGATACCAGGGGTGGACTGACCATTCAAGCGCTCGGGGTCAGTAGGGGGCCCCATAAAATGCCCCTGGTACCTTTTTTTTTTTTTTATAGGCTTTTTTGGGTGTGCTTTCAGTGTGGGCAAGGACACAGGGTCCCCATGATCCCCTATTGCCCGGGGGCCCCATGAGTTGTCAGTCCACCCCTGCTTGATACTATGTTGTAGAACACCTACTTAATCGGTGCATTCTGTATCTAGTCAGGCTGTCATAGCACATAAATTTTGGTAGAAATAAAGACGATTGGTTCATGAAGTTGCAATAGATAAGGCCAGTGCGACTCCTTTGTCACCCATGTGCATTACACCAGTTAGTGTAGTCTGTGTTCTCTACTATTATTGCCTTTTATACTGGTTACCCAGCCTTCCTTCATCTAACCTCTCCACATTCCCAGAGGCTGCGTCATACATTTCCCTTCAATCATTTGTGTACAACAATCACACTATGACATTTAATATTCTACAAATGAGTAAGTATTGATACATTGTCTTCCTGCAGTGATTGCCTGCGTCTGCACAGCTTTATCTTCAGAGACCATAGTGGTCCGGTAGTGTAAAAATGGAGATATACAGTGGGGATCGAAAGTTTGGGCACCCCAGCTAAAAATTTATATTAATGTGCATAAAGAAGCCAAGGAAAGATGGAAAAATCTCCAAAAGGCATCAAATTACAGATTAGACATTCTTATAATATGTCAACAAAAGTTAGATTTTATTTCCATCATTTACACTTTCAAAATAACAGAAAACAAAAAAATGGCGTCTGCAAAAGTTTGGGCACCCTGCAGAGTTAATATCTTGTACTGCCCCCTTTGGCAAGTATCACAGCTTGTAAACGCTTTTTGTAGCCAGCCAAGAGTCTTTCAATTCTTGTTTGAGGTATCTTTGCCCATTCTTCCTTACAAAAGTCTTCCAGTTCTTTGAGATTTCTGGGCTGTCTGTCACGCACTGCTCTTTTAAGGTCTATCCATAGATTTTCAATTATGTTGAGGTCAGGAGATTGTGAAGGCCATGGCAAAACCTTCAGTTTACGCCTCTTGATGTAATCCCCTGTGGATTTCGAGGTGTGTTTAGGATCATTATCCATTTGTAGAAGCCATCCTCTCTTTAACTTCAGCTTTTTCACAGATGGCATAAAGTTACCATCCAAACTTTTCTGACATTTTATTGAATCCATTTTTCCTTCTACTCGTGAGATGTTCCCTGTGCCACTGGCTGCAACACAACCCCAAAGCATGATTGATCCAACCCCATGCTTAACAGTTGGACAGAGGTTCTTTTCATTCAATTCTGTGCCCCTTCTTCTCCAAACGTACCTTTGCTCATTCCGGCCAAAAAGTTCAATTTTAACCTCATCGGTCCACAGAACTTGTTTCCAAAATGCATCAGGCTTGTCTATATGTTCATTTGCAAAGTTCAAACGATGATTTTTGTGGTGAGGACGTAGAAGAGGTTTTCTTCTGATGACTCTTCCATGAAGACCATATTTGTACAAGTATCTCTTTATGGTGGAATAGTGACCACAACTCCAATGTCTGCCAGATCTTTCTGGAGGGATCGTGCAGTCAAACGTGGGTTTTGAATTGTTTTTCTCACAATCCTGCGAGCTGTTCTGTCTGATATTTTTCTTGGTCTTCCAGATCTTGCTTTAACTTCCACTGTTCCTGATGACTGCCATTTCTTAATTACATTCCGAACAGAGGATATTGACATCTGAAAACGCTTTGCTATCTTCTTATAGCCTTCTCCAGCTTTGTGAGTGTCAACTATTTTCAGTTTCAGTTTTCTAGACAACTGCTTAGAAGAACCCATGGTGCTGATTGTTGGGGCAAGGTCAGATGAGTCTGGGCATTTAAAACCTTTGAGATTGACATCACCTGGTCTTCCCAGATGATGATTGAGAACAATCCATGACACTGGCAGGTCTCAGCTTTGCAAAGGGGGCAGTGCATGCTATAAATCTGCAGGGTGCCCAAACTTTTGCAGACGCCATTTTTTTGTTTTCTGTTATTTTGAAAGTGTAAATGATGGAAATAAAATCTAACTTTTGTTGACATATTATAAGAATGTCTAATCTGTAATTTGATGCCTTTTGGAGATTTTTCCATCTTTCCTTGGCTTCTTTATGCACATTAATACAAATTTTTAGCTGGGGTGCCCAAACTTTCGATCCCCACAGTAGGTTTTGTTTTGTTTTTTTTCGTGCCCAGACAAGCCACATTTCTCATAGCTGTTGCTAAATGCGAAGAAGAGGAAATCTAACTCATGCAAATCCTGGATTACATAAAGGATTTCAGAATATAACCTATATTCAGATCAGGGAGTGTCTGACTATACTGGGAGTTTTTCATTTGCTGCATGTCGTATACCTGAAAGCCCTGCCAGAAAACTTCCTCTGTGTGCCTTTGCTTGCACACTGTCCAATGAGAACGCCCTTATTGACCACTGAGGTGCTCTTTTTGGACTGGGGGCAGTAAATAGGTGGAACTTAGCCCAGAAGATAGAGAAGTCAAATCCCTAGTAAGGGTACTTTCACACTGCATTTTTGCCATGTTTTTACTGCTTTTGCAATGCATTTTGTTACTGGGCGTGTGACTCAAAAACCTCACCAAAAATGCAACACAGGTGTGTTTTTGATGCATTTTTGGCACGATTCCATTGATTTGAATGGGGAGGTACATTTTTGGTGATTTTTTTTTTTAACTTCACCATACCTTAAGCAAACAGGGTTTCAAAAAACGCATCGGACCCACACCAGATCAGTGTGAAGAGTTCCATAGAAATACATGGTCGCACATTTTTCTTCCGCATTTTCAATGCAAAAGCGGGAGAAAAACGGATGAGTGTGAAAGCAGCCTCAGAAACCAACATCAGAGGAGGGGTACACAGAGGAGGGTTTCCTGGCTGAAAAAAAAAGGTAAAGATGGCATGTTGAGGTGCTGTTATGAGGGATTTTAGTTGTAAAAGTAAACCCATTCTCGTTAAAATGCTTTTACTTATCAAGGTAGTTTCAAAACTTTTCTGGCAGCCCATCTGTTAAAACACAGCCACATTGCTGGTTGATTCTTGACCCCCGTTGTGTGGTTTTTTCCACTGGTTCGTACTTCCTGGAATGACATAGGGGCCAGTGGAACGAATCACAGCACATGAAGGGTAGATAGCATCCGACACTCCCGGAAGTGTCAGACGCTGTAGATTCTGCCAGGGGTTGTACTCTTTCAACAGAGTTAAAGTGATTGTAAAGGCTCAAGGTTTTTACCTTCGTGTCTTCTATGCATGAGTGTGCAGCAGCTCCCTCCCAATACTTACCTGAACCCCATTTCAATCCAGTGATGTGCACAATGGCCTTGGCTCTCTGGGGACTCTCCCTCCGCATTCACTGAGACAGCAGCGGGAGCCATTGTCTTCCCACTGCTGTCAATCACAGCCAGTGAGCCAATGAGAGAGAGAGAGGGCGGCGCTGAGCCGCGGATCTGTGTACGAATGGACATGCAGAGCAGTGGCTCAGGAGCGAGTCTGCATGGGTGCCCCCAAATCAAGCTGCTTGCTCTGGGGCAGCAGGGAGGGGCCAAGATTGCCAGCAGGGGACCCTAGAAGAGGAGGATCAGGGCTGCTCTGTGCAAAACCATTACACAGAGCAGGTAAGTATGACATGTTTGTTATTTCAAAGAAAAACAAAAATGCCTTCAATATCACTTTAAGTTCGGACTTGCCGCTTTCCAAACAGGTAAGTATTAAAAAAAATCTTATTTTAGGCTGCCTATGTAAGAATTGTTTAATCTCTCTGTCAACAGGTTTGTATCATTTCTGCAATGTGTTGCATGTGATGGAAAGTTGTCATGTTATTTTTCCCCCCCCCACAGGCTGAAGCCAATGAGAAAGAATCAGAGCGACTTCCAGATGGCTGGGCCAGCAACCAAGAGCTGTACACAATGCGCTATGCGAACGACAAGACAAAGATTTTATTTAAAGCTCTGAAAGTGGAGGACACCTTGATAGTCAATGTGATGGTGAGGACAATGTTCTACAGGGCAGTGTACACCACCGTTTTGCTCTTTATCATTTAAAGTTTTTAATTTGAAACTGTTCTCCTTTGGAAAAAAACTGAGGCAAACAGCTAAATACCTATTTGAAATACACATAGGGCAGTGTTTCTCAACTCCAGTCCTCATGGACCCCCAACAGGTCATGTTTTCAGGATTTCCCTCAGATGAAACAGCTGTGGTAATTACTAAGGCAGTGAAACTGATCAAATCACCTGTGCAAAATAATGGAAATCCTGAAAACATGACCTGTTGGGGGTCCATGAGGACTGGAATTGAGAAACACTGACATAGGGGAAGTTTACAAAAACTTGAGCGCTCAGAATCTGGTGCAGCTGTGCATGGCAGCCAATCAGCTTCTAACGTCAGCTTGTTCGATTAAGCTTTGACAATAAAACCTGCAAGCTGATTGGCTTCTATGCACAGCTGCACCAGATTTTGCACACTTATATTTTAGTACCCTCCCCCCCATACTGTATGTTTCTTGTTCTACCTGTTGAAGGATTTACCATTCTGCTCAGCTGTTCTTGTGATACTCTCACCCCTGCCAGTCAGTGCAATCATCCTGTTATTTCATGGTTCAGCTTTCTTACTTCCTACCTATTGGAAAGAGGTGGTGCAGATTCATTGTCTACTTTACAGGTTGGAGGCAGAGAGTTTATATTGAAGGGGCAGCACAGTGGCTAAATGGATAGCACTTCTGCCTGGTAGTACTAGGGTCATTGGTTTGAATCCCAGCCACGGCACCACCTGCCTGGAGTTTGCATGTTCTCCCTGTGCCTGCGTGGGTTTCCTCCGGGTACTCTGGTTTCCTCCCACACTCCAAAAACATGCTGGTAGGTTAATTGGCTCCTATCTAAATTGGCCCTAGTATCTGTATGTATGAATGTGAGCTAGGGAGCTTAGATTGTACGCCCCTTGAGGGTTAGGGACCTTAGATTGTACGCCCCTTGAGGGTTAGGGACCTTAGATTGTACGCCCCTTGAGGGTTAGGGACCTTAGATTGTATGCCCCTTGAGGGTTAGGGACCTTAGATTTTACCCCCTTGAGGGTTAGGGACCTTAGATTGTACCCCCTTGAGGGTTAGGGACCTTAGATTGTACGCCCCTTGAGGGTTAGGGACCTTAGATTGTACCCCCTTGAGGGTTAGGGAGCTTAGATTGTACCCCCTTGAGGGTTAGGAACCTTGGATTGTACGCCCCTTGAGGGTTAGGGACCTTAGATTGTACGCCCCTTGAGGGTTAGGGACTGATGTGAATATATAATATATATAAAGCACTGCGTAAATTGACGGCGCTATATAAGTACCTGAAATAAATAATAAATAAGGTTGCTTGGCTGAATCAGGAAAAAAAAGTGTCTCAGCTGCTGGGCTGATCAGTTCGTAAATCTCAGTACCAGCCAACCAGAATTGCAAATCCTTTGTCAGGTAAAACTGGTTAATGTATATGTATTTTAACTTTTTGTCTGATGTTCCTCTCCAGTACCAAAGAACATTTTGAGATATTCTCCAATCCCGCAGTTATTCCTGTAATCTTGATAATTAAAATAATGCGTATTTGCTGTATTGTTTTTTTCGTGCAGCAGGACTTTATTACTTAAGCATGGTTATGTTTGTTGCATACAGGACATGAAAACAGAAAAGGTCAGCAACCTGACGCTGAATGTTGGAGAGTGCATAGACAAAGCCAACTTGAAAGACTACTCCAGGTCAGCAGGGTGCCCTTCATTTTTAAAAAAAATGCCAAAAATTGTTAAACACACACATATTTAGTATCACTGGATGTGTACTTATCTTTTTTTAATATTTTCCATGGTAAAGATGTTATCTTTTTTTTTAATTTAAATGAGCCTGTCAAGCTTTGGGAGTATCCAGATAATAATAGTACCTATTTTAACTGGGCAGGGTAGGCCCTGGATGAGGGCCAAGTTAGATACTGTACATGTTTTAATCAAAAATCTGGTTGGTTTGGTTTGCTGTAATTTTACTCATTATCATTGGACCTCTTTATTAAAGTAGAACTATAGGCAAAATCTTTTATTTTTTTCATTTTGTATACAGTAAGGGAGGGTTATGACCCTGTCAGGTTTTTTGTTTGGCATCTGTGTCCCATTGTGGAGATTTCTCTTCCTGTCCCATAGCCAAAACAGGAAGTGAGAAAAAATTCCTTGAAAGTGAGTAAACCTCTGGTTGTCAGCAGGGTACCCAGAACTAGTGTCCCCACTGAAACATTACTGTTCTGGGGACAACCCAAAATCAAGAATTTTCTTGCACTTTAAGTAAACATGCCAAATTGAGAGGGTGAATCTCCCTAGTGGTGCACAGACGGAAATAAAAACTGTCAGGTATTCTAATCCATCTCCCCATTGTCCAATAAAAAAAAAAAAAGTATTGCCTGTTAGTTACTCTTTAAGTAACTCAGCCTTTTGGCTGAGATCAAGTGTAGTATCTGTTCTTACCAGCGTCCAAATTATTTTTGCTACAGGCCTCAGGGACTAGCCAGTACACAATTGCACGGCCACTTGTTTATTATATGCTATTTGTTTTCTCCTCACGTTTGTTTCACTTTTGTGTGTGTGTTTTTTTTTTTTTTTTCTCACTGGATGGGAGGGTGTGGGTCCTTGGGCCTGCCCTGACATCTAGGGAGAGGATGTGTGGCCATTCGGTTCCTTCCCCGAATTCTGGGGGGTCTCTCTTTGGGAGAGCCCCATGACCAAGTACTTGGTGGTCAGCTTCAGCTGATCACAAGGAAAAGGGTCTGCCAGGCCTTTAGGCCAGGTGGACCATGTTGGAAACCCTTTGTCTGTATCAGGAGCCTTGTGCTCCTGGGGATCAGGGTAGAGGTCCTACCCCTTCGGGAGGTGGACTAAAAGCACACCTCTAAGTGCACCTTTTTGTGTTGGTGTTTTTGCACTTGTACCTTTTTTGTACACTTATCGAGTTTTTGTTTTTGCGCATCTCCGCGGATTAAATGAAAAAAAAAATTAAGTAACTCACTTTGTGATTTGATGTGAAAGAAGCAGATTAATGCAGCTCTGCTTTCATTACATAGCCAATGCAAGTGCCTTAATTTGACCTGAAAGCACAGACTAGGGGAGAGAGAGCTGTAGCCAATCAGTTGTATTGCAGCTCTCATATGCTAACAAAGGCACATGCTGATGGGAGGAGAGCGCAGAGAGACAGGTGAGATCATCAGTCTGCTGCTCACCTGCTGCTCCCCAACCACAGGCTGGTTCAAGACCTGTAGGTCTTAATTAGCTGCAGCAGAGATAAATCAGGTCCCTGGCAGACATGGTGTTGTGTGTGGCAGATTTATGGAAATTTCAGGACTGGATAGACTGCTCTTACAAATCCTTTTTGAAAGGTAAAATGGTTCCATTTGTATATATTTCATCAGTGTATGCAGACGTTTCCCTGGAGGTTAACTTTAATGCCCTGTTGCAAATGTGTTTCTTTTCTTTACAGGGTGTTTAAGAAAAAAAAAAGAACTAAATCGACGGCTGAAGACTGAACTACTGTCCCCACTGCTCGGCTCTACGGAGAAGACTGGGAAACTTGAGCGAGAACGGGAGAGACCCTCAGATTATGTTACCCCTAATGTGCCAACTGGTGGCCCTCCACCACACCACACTCCACGGTGAGAGCACCTTTCATTTTTCATCTATGTAATGTTTTTTTATGGAACAGATCTTTACTGGCCAGCTAACAGACTGGTCTAGTAGTTGAGAGGGAAAGCCTTATAGGAGTTTGTAAAAATATGGTAGGATGTGGGTAGGTATGGGTCTGAATGTGGAACAGGTAACTGAGGGGCAGGTTTAAAACAAAGATAAGCCATAAAAAATTACTGTGGGAGTAGAATTTTTGTGTAAAGGAGACTGTCCTTGGTGCTTGCTTAGTGCATGTACACTCCTGACCAATTCCTAATATCTGTAATGTTGGGAATGAAGCCATGTGCCAGCTGTATGTAAATCCAGTACACACGTGCAAGAGTTTCATCATCAGTGACCATCCAGCGGTCACAGGGCAGAGACCAGACCTGGATGTAATGACAGACAAGATCGCTGCAGCAGGCAGACTGTTGACAACAAGTATCGGTTCGCAATGGAGAAGAGCATACTAAGAGGCAAAACTTCTATAATATGTACAAATTTCAGGAGTCCCCTTGTCACTGGCAGTTCAGTTCTGCTTTAAATGACACTGTAAAAGCTTCACATCTTCCAATTACAACTGTTTTTATTTTTCCTTTTCTAGAGAAAATCCCAGTGGGAATATTCCTTATGGTTCTGCAGACTTGAATCCCTTGGGGTGAGTATATGGAAGGTATCTGTGATGTTACAGAAGTAAAAGATAGGTCTACAGTATGTGTATCAAAGCTTTCTTACTAAAGGCTTATGCCATGATTTGCCATAAGAGCTAATCTCTTTCTCAGGACTCCAGCAGGCCACAGGCTCCTATTGTTCCACTTGTGCCTCTATATCTGGGTAAAATAAACAAAAATAATATTCAGCACATCTCTGCAATACATGCACATTTAAAGAATTCCAGGTATCAGCATGTTATACATATTTTCATTGGTCCAGTTTGGACTAATGTAACTATGTATACACCATAGCTGGCCGATGCTGCTTGAAGGTGGAAATCGTCAAAGTAGACATAGCTACTCCAGTAGTCTCCACTAGTTTCCATATCCAGTGCTGAGCGGCTGGCCTGATTACATTGTGAATACAGAAGGTCAGCCGCTCTGCTCAGGAACCATTCAGAGAATGATTTGCATTTTCAGAATGAATGCAAAGCATTCTCTGATTGGGCAAGGTGGGGAGGCAGGGTGGTGATGTCATGCTGTCCACCTCGTCCAGTCAGAGAAAGCTTTGCATTCATTCAGAAAATGCAAAGCACGGGACCCGGAAGCAAGTAGAAATCACTTAAGTAGTTGTTGTAGTAGTAGTAGTAGGTGTCAATTTCCAGATTCCAGTGGCATTGGCCAGGTATATCATATACGTAGTTAAATTGGTTCAAGCTGAAGCAATACCCAATATAACTATGTATAACATACCAATGCCTGGAATTATTCATTAACAATGCTGAGACTGTTTAAAAACGTTATTACAAAGTACCTGTTGATCATCCAGAAATCCAGTGTACTCCTAACTTCCTGTAATGAGCTATGAAGAACTAAGGTTGACTATATAGTCTTGGGATTTCAGCGCAGCAGAGGCAGTGCTGTTGGCTTGTTATGCTAAGGTTTGAAGCTCACTGGATGTGTGTTAAGCTCAATAAGTATTTTCTGTATTTTCTCTGCATGTTAAAGAGAAAAAGAATAGAGAAAAGCGTATGCATGTATTGTGTATATATATACTGCATATACATATATTTTATTTTGCCACACATATTTTAACTGCTGTGTATACCTTTCCATAGACACACCTAGTATGTCTTTCTGTTCCTACAGCGGGCATGGAGGTATGATCTTCGATCCTTTTGGATCAGGTTCGAGACCCAGACCTGACCCTACAATTGGACTCCCTCCAGGAGCGGTGCCACCTGGCGCTCGGTTTGATCCCTTTGGTCCTCCAGGTGCTAGACGCCCCGGGTGAGTGTATTGCTTGCCTGTTTTTTTCTATATGGAGGATGGTACACATTTTACAAACAAACATGAGAGACTAACTGACTTTTACTCTTTCCTGTCCAGGCCTGACCCCGACCATCTCCCACCTCCGGGTTATGATGACATGTTCATGTGATGTCTGATGCCTCATACTGCCTTTTAATTCTTTCCTTTTGCTTTGCACTATTTGCTTTGTTTAAATGAATTAATGGCCAGCATAGTATTTATAAGGACTCTGTAGCACCACTTGGTGTTGAGGGGCGTTAAAACTGGACTTGTGTTACAAGTGTAGGTAAAGGTGCATACAGCCATTAGAGAACATTCACCTGTTCAGGGGAAAGGTAGTCAGGCATGATGGACGATCACTAATGTTTGTTCTAGCACAAGCTAGATTCATTCGATCCAAACTTGCTAGTCATGCTGATCAATGTAAACAGCTATCCGGACAGCTGCAGGCTGAAGAAGGGTTATTGAAAAAATCAAAAACAGCAACCGAACCCCATGGTGGAGAGAGAAAATGTACCATTTTCTCTCTCCAACATGGGGTCTGTTTGCTGTTTTTAGGATGTTTTGATATTTCAATAAAGATGTTTTTTCATTTGAGTGTAGCTGTTTAGAAAGCTTTCTGTTTACATTGTTTAAAAGCAATTGTTTTTCTGCGTCTGGGTTGTGTGTGAACATCTGCCACTCTCTAATGCTTGTAGGTAGCTTTAAAGAGACAATGGGGTAGATTTACTAAAACTGGAGCACTCGGAATCTATTGCAGTTGTGCATAGGTAGCCAATCGGCTTCTAACGTCAGCTTGTTCAGTTACGCTTTAGCAATGAAACCTAAAAGCGGATTGGTTTCTACGCAGAGCTGCGCCAGATTTTGCACTCACCAGTTTTAGTAACTCTCCCTCATTGTAATCATAAAGTAATACTTTGCAGACTGCTCAGATAAATCAAATACTTAGAATTCGCATTTACTGATGCTACCCTTGCATAGCAATCCATTTTTGCCTTTTTGTTGTGGTTTTCTTCAACCTCTGGCACTTTTGGGAGTACTGGGGGCTTTCTGTAGCAGATATCTGAACTCTCCTCTCCCTTCACCTGGCTCTGACATTACCAGGGTGTCTGGCTGCTGCCTGTAAAGCCTCCAGTGCTCTGTGATTGACAGCAGGGAACAGGCTGAGTTTGTGTCTGGAACTCACCATATTTTCAACAAAACACACATTTTGAGCAGTGTTTAAAGTAGTTTGTATGCTATTTTTCACATTTACAAGTTTGTACGTAATCTTTGCTGTTTTATTAAATGTAGAGGTTTGTAAATTAGCTACTACAACCATAGTTACTACAATGATTTTGCCAAACTGATTGAAGAAATGTTAAAGACTACATATAAATCTGCTTAAAAACACTGCTTCCCCCTCCTCCTAGCTATGCTGTATACCGCTAAAAAAAAAACCAAAACTATATAAATATCTTGTAAAAATGTAGTGAGCGCTCCTGTATAATAATGAAGTAAGCAGCTAATAGCACTAAAAGGAGATCAGCACCGCCTTAGGTAAAATAAAATGGATAAAGTGCAGCGCTAAAATCAACAAGCAGAGAAATCGATCTGTAAAATTCGATCTAAAAAGTTTGATCCCAAATTTTGTTATCAAATGTTCGTTTAGTTCATCAATATGATATAAAAATGGGCACAGCTATGAGGAATCCAAAAATGGCGAAAATGCTCACTCACCGACCGCGCATAGGAAATGCGCATGTGTGTATTAAATCCCACAGACACCGATCTCCCTCAGGAAGGAATGTCATCAAACGATAGTCTGCTGGGCTCACAAGACCTCCTTAGGATCAGGATAGATCAGCCGGATAAAGAATCCCTCCAAGTGAAGGCTTCCCTCCTCTGGATGTAGTATGGAATTGGAAGCTGTGTCTGCTGACCCCTCAAAGAGGGGCAAAAAGTGGAAGAGTACCCATAGTGTAGTATGTCACAAAAACTTTATTAACAACAGACTTCGTGCAGGGTAGATCTGTGCAGGTGCTGGCAAATGCCAGGAATATAATGCAGGGAAACAGAGGGTTAAAAAAAGTTACTGACCCTGTATAGTAGGATGGCCGCCAGACCTCCTCGTGGTCTGGGCGGCAATAAGGAGTCACAGGCTGTCAGTTCCTCCTGAGGCTTTTCGTGCTAAGGCACATCATCAAGAGGGGATTCCTCATAGCTGTGCCCATTTTTATATCATATTGATGAACTAAACGAACATTTGATAACAAAATTAGGGATCGAACTTTTTAGATCGAATTTTACAGATCGATTTCTCTGCTTGTTGATTTTAGCGCTGCACTTTATCCATTTTATATAAATATCTTACTTCACTCAACTACAGTCTGGTCACATGATGCAGAAGCTCCATCTCTCCTGTGTCATGGAGCGGCTGCTGCAGGGGAGAGGAGGGAGCGCCGACAGCAGATGGGCAATGAGAGGCTCTGGAATTCAGCACTGTTATTGAGCACTCCATGACACACGGGAGCCAAAGCTTCTGCATCATGTAAGAGGACCAGAGACTGAAATAAGGTATTTACACTGATCTTTTATACCAGCACTATACTGCATAGGTAGTAGGAGGGAAAAGCAGTGTTTTTAAGCACACCTATGTGTAGCCTTTACTTCCACTTTAATTCTTCAAAACTAAATATAAAAAAAAGAATGTCTGGTGTTAGACTTTAACAACTGCTAAGATAAAACATCAGTTACACAGGGAGTGCTTTGTTATCAGCAGGTTGGTCAGCTTCTTGCAAAAAAGGGGCAGTAAAGTACAACCACTGTATCACACTGAAAAGGAGGAAGCAGAACCTGTCTGTGTAACGAGCAAATATGGCCGTCCCTATGTACATATATAATTAAAAATGATAGAAACAAGAAAATTTTACATTAAACCAATCTCTTTTACAGGTATAACAAGGTCGACAAGACTGTGTTGCTCTTTAAAAATGTATACTTATTTCTTAACTGCTGGGTGATTGTAAATATTCTAGTAGAACAAAATGTATAAATGTTCATAAAAAAAAAAAAGTTGCAGAACCAAATCTTGTGCTTTTTCACCTTTATTATAAACCAATGGCAAGATACAATGATATGGGATCCTTGGCTACAATGACAGCGCTGGTATAACGGTCACAGGTTTTCTGTATATTATACACAATCTGCAAGGGATGAATCAAATCCACTTGCTGTATGGTTTTCTTATTGCACTGCCTTGACCTGAAACTGACGATCTGGTTCTACAGTTGTGTATCTAGAGATTCTGGCTAGCCCTTCGTTCTTTGGCTGTGCGATCTATTTAATAAATAAAATGTCTCATCCTTGATCCATTATTAAAGGGTAAGTAAACTTTCAGACTTCGGACCCCCCCGGCTCCATACTTGGCCTGCTGTTGTGTTTACATCCTGTTGCCTTGCCTCTTCCTCCGACGTAGTAGAAATCCATGGACTTCTATGAAGCTGTCTCCAGCTTTGTGGGGTTCTACTGCCCACCTCCAAAGTGGCTGTCCTGCAACATGCAAACATTGCGCTGGTCTCTGGCTGCAAGAACTCGACAAGTATGATGTTATACCTCTGCGCATAAACGGTAGAGACTAGCAGTTTGCATAAGGGGATACTCACATACTTTGCTTTATGACATATCTCCTTTAGCAAGAGAGGTTACTGGCTGCTGTGGTCATTTCAGTGACAGTGGTGAAGTAGAATACACAGCATAAATACTAAGACTTGTGTCACACTAGTGATCCAGTTGCTCAAGAGGATTCGCCAGTGATAAGATCGCGTATAACTGCAGGCACCATGTTCATTGTCATGAGTCCCGTTCTCACTAGCTGGCTGAGTGAGGCATTACTCCCTTGCTGACAGACACAGAATGGCAGAATGTAAGTTGCCAGCGATGGAGTAATGTCTTGTTCATCCAGCCAGTGATGGAGCAACTATGGAAGTAGGAGAGTTCTTGCCTTTTCATGTCCATCTGGATTACCATAGAAATCAATTCCCCTTTTTGTTTTAGCCGCATGTCACGTCTGCCATGTACATATTAATCTAACTGGTCAAAAATTATTTTATAAATATAATTGAATATAAATAACATTTTGACATTGAAAATTGATGCAAGCAACTTTGCTTTTTGTGTTGCATCAGACAGTCGTTTCAGTAATCCAATCCAATAAAACAATCGAATCGAATAGTTGAAAAATTGTTGCATGTGTGGCCGGCTGTAGATGTAGTGTCCCCACTACACTACAGCTCAAGGCACAGAGCTACACAGGCAGGAGGTCATAGGCTTCCTAAAGCTGATCTCCAGGCAGTACAAAAGTTACATGTAAAGCTCCTTTGCCCAGCATGCACCCAAAAATTTTTTTTTTAATACCTGGCTTGCAAACTGAAAAATAATTTTCTTTTTCCCCTTCAATTTTCAGAGTTATAGGACATTCTGCAGGGGAGTTTTCATAAGCACACCCTGCAAGGCTACCATTTTACTTCAATGGTGCCTCACACTCCCCTGTCAGTGTCCTGAGAACTAAGGCCTGTTTCACATGGACCTCAGCTTGTATAGATGCAGTGTGAACAGCAAGCTTTGACAAAGTATTTGCAGACGATTTAGCAAGCTTTCTTACTATTCAACTCCAGTTTATAAATGTTGAAAGCAGATCTGAATGGGAGTGCTGATTGCCACTTTAAACAAGCTGCTAGCAGGCTTTCATCAACCTTCAAGAAGTGCTGAAGCCTGCTAGCAGCTTGTTTAAAGTGGCAATCAGTACTCCCATTCTGCTCTCTGTTTAACATTTAAAACTGGAGTTGAATGGTACTTTAAAAGCTTCACTAAAGCTTGCTGAAAGCTCCGCAAATGCTTTTGTCAAAGTTTGCTGTTCACACTGCTCTTATACAAGCCGAAGTCTGTGTGAAACAGGCAACTGGATGCTGAACAATGTAGCAGTGGCTAGATAACTCTAGTGCTGCCTTCATAGAATCACAGAAGGATTGCGAGTTGACCAGTCAACCAGCATATGGACAGCAGGCTAAGGTGACCGGTCTGCAGATCAGGAAGTAGCAGTCTGTATTCAATCAAAGACAACCTTTGATGACAGTGTGGTGGAGAATGGGACAGGCCGTGGAAAAATACATGGCAAAGGAATGCCAAATTGAAGTCTCACTCCTTTTTATCTAGTTCTAGTCTTGTACCCAATCATATTATATATTGTGGTGAATTTTTGCTTGTAGATGCTTTAAAATTCCCTTTTCTGTCAGTGAAAATACTGCGATATTTGCTGGCGCCTTTTAGACTGCACAGTCCTATTTAGATGCCGTGCTGGGACAGCAAAGCGGAGGTAAGGCTATGAAATTCTTGCACCTACAATTAATGTGCTGTGTATAATCTTTTGTGCCTGGAGTTCAGCTTTCATTTTTAATGTATACATTAGTTGAAGTTTTCAGCAGCTTCTTCATATTAAAGGGAACCTGTTACAGCCAAGGGTGCTGCCTGGCACTGAAGTTTGCACACCTCCCATAAACAGGGCTGATTCCAGAGCAGAGCACAGCAGCATAATACATGGTAATGTGCCTGTTTTGGAAGTAGCACCTTTTCTGGGAGCCAAACGGTGGCAGCCTCCAACACAAGTTATGGCTTTGTCAGATAACAGCTGTTCTGACAGGTACCCTGTTGAGGGCATTTTATAAAATTAGGGCAGGATGAAGACTGGGCAATTTCTGTGATGTGCATTATTATTAAAACATATCTAAATCCCAAAATTCCCATTTTAATATAATGCAGTTTACCAATCAGTAGTCCACAGGCACATGGAGCGTATAGCTTGTGTGTGTGTCTGATCCCGATGTTTTAGTGAGCCCATGAGGCACAAGCAGGGGCGGACTGACAACTCATGGGGCCCCCGGGCAATAGGGGATCATGGGGCCCCAGTGTCCTTGCCCAAAATCAAAAAAGCCTATGAAAAAAGGTACCAGGGGCATCTCATGGGGCCCCCTACTGACCCTGAGCCCTCGGGCAGTGCACGAGTTTCCAAATGGTCAGTCCGCCCCTGGGCACAAGTGCAGCGTTTAGTATCACTGCCGGCCGCCTGTCGGTCTATGAAAAGCTGAAATATACTGCAACTGGACCCTGTACCTGCATTCCAGGAATACACTCCTGAATGCATAAAGTCCTAGACCAGGGGTGGGCAACCTGCGGCTCTCCAGCTGTTGTGGAACTACATTTCCCATGAGGCACTGCAAAGACTGAGAGTTACAAGCATGACTCTACAGGTCCCATGAGACATTGCAAAACTGACAGTTACAGCTAGGACTTGCAGAGGCATGATGGAACTTGTAGTCCTGCAACAGCGCCGAAAACTGCTCACCCCTGTCCTAGGCAAAAAGGAGCGTGTAACCCTTGCATTGTGGGGGAAGGGAAGATTTATTCTTGTGTCTGGAGTTGGGCTTATATCATGTCCTCCATAAACTAAACTAATTTCTTAATGAAACCGTAAAGCCCAGCTCCAGGCACCCCAGTCCCCAGTCCCCCCCCCCCCCCATACGTACCTCTTTTTCAGCAGTTTTTGGCTCTGTTAGCAGGAAAGAAGCTGTTGTGCCAGTCTTGACTTGCAGAGGCATGATGGAACTTGTAGTCCTGCAACAGTTGGAGAGCAGCAGATTGCCTACCCCTATCCTAGACACAAGTAGCACTTGATACTGTGTCCAGCTGCAGTGTATTTCAGCCTGTCATAGAATGACACTGCGGACCGTGTGCATTTGGCCTTAGATGCTGTGGCTGCATTAGTTTTTTTTTTTTCACCTGGTCATCCTGCCAGTTTCACAAAAAACACTCACTGCACTTCTGTACTTTATCTATGGAGGAGGATGCAGTGTTCCCACTTTAGGTCTCTTTCCTGATTTGGACTGGAAACATGTATGCCTGCCTTCATTTCCATTATATGGAGGATTTGTAGTTTTATAGAAGACAGGTGGGAATATACTGTAGAAAACATGGTTTGAGATTTCAGTTCAGCTTACAGGAAGCAACATGGACATTTTATATTTCTGGCAAGATCAACAAGTATTTTCTGTGCCTACTGAAAATGTTCTTGGCCTGAAAAAAAACTAAAAGCAGACACCTCATCCAAGGACTGGTAAGGAGCAAAATATTACGTTTTTGTTCTGTATGTTCCTGCTGTCACTAGGGTGCATTTTCAGGTTTTTCATCCTGCCCTGATTTTACCAATGCCTCGCTCAGTCTCCCCACCATGCCAGCCAAGCCTCAACTGCTGGAGGCCTGTAGGCTGGCAAAGTCTAATGGATGTCGTTTAGGCTCAGTTGTAAATTTGATCCGTGCTAAAAGCAGGATTTCATTTTTGAAAAAATCCTGGTCAACATTCTTTTAATTAAAACATTCACATTCTACAACACAGGTTGACAACCTGTACCCTGACAGCCGGAGTAGTACTGTAAATCCCAGCATGCACCGAGATCCTGTGGCCGTAGATTCTCTTGCCACACCAGCAGTCGTGGCATTCATTGCTGTCAACCTGTTTTTACAGTGCAGCTACAAGTAATTCTCTCTCCCCCTCCCCCAGCGTCACTGAGATCGAAACAGCAGGAATCTCTCAGGACGGAATAATCTGGCCTCATTAAACATTAATGCCTCTATAACAGAATATTTGCTCATCGGAGTCATTAACCCCTGCCGGCATATTTGTAATGTCCTTGGTGCTCTTAAGGCTCGTGCCCATGGTGGGTAATATTGTTAGTCATCTCCATCACTTCATGTTCTACCAGCATCTGACCACCTTCTGTGGTCATCTGTCTCATCCTCAGGTTGAGTGAGCCATATTTTGTCCTGGGCCCTCTGGCCACGCTGAATTTCCTCCTCCGGTAAAGTTCCCCCTTACAAATGGAGATCATGAGTAGCATGGAAAGAAGAGTGCCCCCTAATGTGAGAAGGCCCAGACCTGCGATGATGCACTTGTCTAGGTTGGAGCCCAGATGTGCATAGTAGAGTTCCAGTCGTTCCATCTCGCGGGCAGACACAGAATCGGGGCTCACTCGCACCTCCCGTGGTATGGTATATGCTATGGCCACCAGAATGATGCCACTAACCAGCAGCACTAAGGAACAGATGAAACCGTAATCTACAGAGTGGCTTGCCGGCTCAGGTTCTCGACTGTCCTCAGAGTGAGGAGATCCATTCTCTTTGCCCCATCCCCTCACCTCCGATGCAGGACTCAACTGCAAGGCATCCCGTGACTCCTGGCCAAAACTGGTCTCCCCAAACTCCTCGTAGGATGGGTTCTCAAATCCTCTGACAGTACCTGAGCGCTCCGGGCAAGCGTGGCCATCTGCATTGTGTCCTCTGCTGATGTCACTTAGCTCCAAGGAGTGAGGAGAAGCCATTGACCGAAGATGGTCCTGCTCATCCTGGGCTTACAAGATTGCATCAGATGGCAGCTGAGAGGGGAAAGGTAGAAAATAAGTTGAAATAATTGCCAACGCAGGAAAAAAAAAAAAAACTGAACATGTTTAGCAATAAATGGTAAGTCCCTTTAAATATCACCACAGGTCTCGAATCTGTGTACTTTACCATCTGGTAAGCAATGTAATCTATCAATTATTACATGTTATTGATTCATATAGTGCTGGTGTCTCCCATGCCACTGTAGTCAATACATACAACAGCTTTTAAGTGGAACTCCAGCCAAAACATTTTTAATGTTTAGAGGAGTGAAGCATTAGAACATACAGTATGTTTGTTTGTTTTTATTGCTGTCAGTAGGCCTGTGGTGAAGCTTGTCACCGCCTATGTGGTCACTGGCACAGATTGCAATAAAAAACCTAACAGAGTTTCTAACCCAAGTACAAAGTACATCATCAACCCACCAAGATGCCTGGTCGAAGATGTAATAATGACCACATTAAGCAATGTTTTTCTGCTGCTAGAAGAGCTCCTTCATAAAGCAGAAGCAAAAACCCTGCCCTGATTATTATTACACAGGATTTATATAGTGCCAATGGTTTGCTCAGCGCTTTACATTATAGTGGGAGACAATACAGTTCGATACAAGAGGGATTAGAGGGCCCTGCTCCTTGGAGCTTACAATCTAGGAGGGAGGGGTGAATGGTACTGTAGGTAGTAACGGTGGGGGATGGAGTGGTTGGAAAAGTAGAAGATTCCAGAATTAGCAGAGGGCAGGATAGGCTTCCCTGTAGAGATAGGTTTTCAGTGAACGCCTAAAGGCACGTAGTGTAGAGTAGGTGATAATCTGATAGATTGGGGTAGGGAGTTCCAGAGGATGGGTGACGCCCTGGAGAAGTCCTGGAGACGAGCATGGGAGGAGGAGATAAGGGAGCTAGAGAGTAAGAGGTCTTGCGAGGAGCGGAGTGTACGGTTTGGGTGATATTTAGAGATTAAAGAATTTGCTTAGCAACTCCAATACTTTGATTACATGTAGTCATTTTTGGACAAGCAGCTTGGAGTGCTAACGACCTATCACATACCTAAGACTAACATTGACGGCGTCATCCGTCTTGGTTATTTCAGCACCTCTACTCCGATGACCAGATAGGAAAAAGAAACCGGAATGAAAAATGTTACCTAAAAATATTCATTAGAATATCAATGAATCTGGGAACTATTTATCAAAATATCTGAGGAGTCTGTTCCCAACCTCAAAGGCATAACTAAATGTCACTCTCTGACAGCTGGACAATTATCTCTTAAAGGATAAGTTCACCTTTAAAACAAATAAATGCATATTTTTTTGCAGGTAGAAAAAAACGTGCATTTTTAAAAAAAATTTCTTGAGAGCCTGTAAAGCATTGCACCCATGATCAGTAGATCACGGGTGCAATGTCAGGCTCTTGCAGACTGTCAGTACACTGTCTGCCCATACTTCCAAGCAGTTACAGAAGTCCTGGAAGCTCAATGGACTACCAGAGTGCTCACCCAGCGTCCTCGCTGTTCATTGAGAACTACAAGCCATCAGCCGCAGCGGCTGACTGTAGTTGTAGTTTTTTCATTCACAGAACTCTTTGAATGAATGGCAGGGCCGCAGCGTTTTCAAATTGTGACAACAGATGCAGGAAGAAAATCCCCGGCCCGCTGTCATAAGGCGGTGGCGATTTGGGAGGAGAGGAGGCAGATGCTCAACATGGGTATAACATGTTGAGAAAGGGGAACTTAACCTTTAAAGCTGATCCAATCACAACCCTTTTATATTGATCCTATTTATAAAAGAACTATATATATATATATATGAATCTATGGACACTTTATGGGCCGTGTCCTGAATCTTCTATCTTGTGGACTGCAGAATGGGAGGGTCCTTATACTGGTGCCCACATCATTCCTTGATAACGAAGACACTTCCTATTGGTTGTCCATGGGCAGGGTTCTCACAGGGTCCAGAAGGCTCCAGCGTTGTAATGATGTCAAGACTGTTAGAGGTAGTCCTAGACTGCAGCAGTGACCCCCAGTCTTCACTAGCAGAAAGGTCCTTCAGAGGCTCATGTGATGGCAGACTCCAATAGATTAAAAAAAAATGGTTAGGATTTTTTTTTTCCATTTGTGGGGAGGGATGGGGAAGTGAGGTTTGTTTGCCTGGAGATGGACTTAAAAGTGCACAAAAATATTCCCCAGTCCTTACTAACATGACCACGGCTGCTGATAGTAGCGTATAGGTAATACTCCCATTCCTGGCTCCATCAGGTCAGCAGGGGACCCAGTACAGTGATGCACTGTGTAGCACCACTTAGATGGTGCCCCAGTGTGGCAGAGTGTCAGTGCTGTGGCAGGTCCTGGTATGCAGAGGCCATTCCAGCACCCAGCATTGAAAGAAGCCAGAAGTATTGGTTGCAGTGAACTCCACCTGAAACTGGAAAAGAAAGTTTGGCTCTAGAGTATGTATCCAGTTATTTAAAAACAACACCAGTGCTGGAGGGGTTATTATTACTGCTGTAGCCAGCCCACTGACCACCAATGCGTGGGGGGGGGGGGTTACTTTTAAAGGATGGATGGATCAGCACAGCCCCAGGCACCTAGCGTTTGTAAAAGCAGACAGGTGTCAATGGCACCTCTCTTACTTTTTTCTGTACAATAGTCCATTAAAATCAGATATTTGAACAGAATTCCATGATCATGTATCCAGTACCAGTCACAGAAGCAGACTGATTAATCAGGCAGTGTAGCTAACAAAGGCAATCGGTTTGATTTTTCATCTCCAGCAATGAAAGATGATTGCTACTTGACTAGTGCTCTTTGCCTTACTAATATGTAGGTTTTATTTTTATTTCTTTGCTATTTCCTAATCCTCGGCAATAAACAATCATCTTTCATTAATGTAACTGCACTAAGCTGCAGAAAGCTGCTTGCTGATTGGCTGCTGTCATTAATCTGGAGCCTGCAAAGCAGGGCAGTGACGTCTGGAGTCAGCTGGAGCTGTCCATTCAGCACCACACTACAAACATCAACCAGGCTATCCTACACAACACACAGCTGTCCATTCAGCACCACACTACAAACATCAACCAGGCTATCCTACACAACACACAGCTGTCCATTCAGCACCACACTACAAACATCCACCAGGCTATCCTACACAACACACAGCTGTCCATTCAGCACCACACTACAAACATCAACAAGGCTATCCTACACAACACACAGCTGTCCATTCAGCACCACACTACAAACATCAACAAGGCTATCCTACACAACACACAGCTGTCCATTCAGCACCACACTACAAACATCCACCAGGCTATCCTACACAACACACAGCTGTCCATTCAGCACCACACTACAAACATCAACAAGGCTATCCTACACAAGACACAGCTGTCTATTCAGCACCACACTACAAACATCAACCAGGCTATCCTACGCAAGACACAGCTGTCCATTCAGCACCACACTACAAACATCAACAAGGCTATCCTACACAAGACACAGCTGTCTATTCAGCACCACACTACAAACATCAACAAGGCTATCCTACACAACACACAGCTGTCCATTCAGCACCACACTACAAACATCAACAAGGCTATCCTACACAAGACACAGCTGTCCATTCAGCACTACACTACAAACATCAACCAGGCTATCCTACACAACACACAGCTGTCCATTCAGCACCGCATCACAATTATTACCAGGGCTATCCTACACAACACACAGCTGTCCATTCAGCACCACACTACAAACATCAACAAGGCTATCCTACACAACACACAGCTGTCCATTCAGCACCACACTACAAACATCAACAAGGCTATCCTACACAAGACACAGCTGTCTATTCAGCACCACACTACAAACATCAACCAGGCTATCCTACACAACACACAGCTGTCCATTCAGCACCACACTACAAACATCAACCAGGCTATCCTACACAACACACAGCTGTCCATTCAGCACCACACTACAAACATCAACAAGGCTATCCTACACAAGACACAGCTGTCTATTCAGCACCACACTACAAACATCAACCAGGCTATCCTACACAAGACACAGCTGTCCATTCAGCACCACACTACAAACATCCACCGGGCTATCCTACACAAGACACAGCTGTCCATTCAGCACCACACTACAAACATCCACCGGGCTATCCTACACAACACACAGCTGTCCATTCAGCACCACACTACAAACATCAACCAGGGCTATCCTACACAACACACAGCTGTCCATTCATCACTACATCACAAGTATTACCAGGGCTATCCTACACAAGACACAGCTGTCCATTCAGCACCACACTACAAACATCAACCAGGCTATCCTATACAACACACAGCTGTCCATTCTGCACCACATCACAAGTATTACAAGGGCTATCCTACACAACGCTCAACTTTCCATTCATCACCACACTACAAACATTACCAGGGCTATCCTATATAATACACAGTTGTCCATTCAGTACCACAACACACAGCTGTCCATTCAGCAATACACTAGAAACATCACCAGGACTATCCTGAGCAATAGAAAATTGTCCTTTCAGCACCACACGACAAACATGACCAGGGCTATCCTGCACAGCACACAGCTGTCCATTCAGAACCACAACACACAGCTGTCCATTCAGCAATACAGTAGACTAGAAACATCACCAGGACTATCCTGAGCAATAGATAATTGTCCTTTCAGCACCACACGACAAACATCACCAGGGCTATCCTGCAGAGCACACAGCTGTCCATTCAGCACCACACTACAAACATTACCAGGGCTATCCTATATAATACACAGTTGTCCATTCAGTACCACAACACACAGTTGTCCATTCAGCAATACAGTAGACTAGAAACATCACCAGGACTATCCTGAGCAATAGATAATTGTCTTTTCAGCACCCCACGCCAAACCTTACCACCACTACCCT